AGAATTGAAAGGGAAGAACCTTGTTTCATTTGTGACAATTTTTTTATCATTTTTTTAAATAATTTTTTAGTACACAAATTTTTTTAATTATAAATTTTCGTACTAAAAAAACTATTAAAAAACCATCAAAAACCAAACCTAAATGTGATAGGAAGTCTGCAACAATATTATCCAAAAACCAAATCTAGGAAGAAGGATCCAAGCATGACTAGTTAAGAGAAGTCATATATGTTTAGTTAATTATTGTTTGGACATGTTTGATTATGTAATTGGTGATGTTCCTTATCTGAATTTGATGTATAAATGCAAATTGTGTAGATGTAAATTGTGCATGTTGTTTATATGTGTTTTTTATGCAGGTATTTTTTTTGTGGAAATCAGTTTTTAAAGGAAAGAAGGTTTTTTTTTTCTGTGCTCCAGGTTTCCGGCGGAACTTCCGCCGGTCGGTCTGCCGGTACGACGATATAACATTTCCGGCGGATCGTATCTGACGGTTATGCATCATCTTTTTAACGACGAACTATCCGCCGGAACGGCCGGCGGAATAAACGACGGTAAACGAAAATGTTCGCCGGTGAGATTTCGCTATTTTTCAGCCGGAAATTGCGCCAGCAAAAATTTCCGACACACGATATTCCGGCGGAGGGTTTTTCGACGGTGATCCGCCGGAAACCAACAATTTCCGGCGCATTTTTGTTGTTACCGACGGATCTAGTCCGCCGGAATAAGCATATTTTCCTGTAGTGATAGTGATATCTAGTATTAATGTTAGTTGCATGGTGAGTATTGACTATAGCGTTCTCAATCATGTTAAGATTACACTAAATAATAACATTAATTTATTTATTTTTTTTCTATGAATTTGTTAAAGTCTATTTAATATGTGTTATCTTTGTGTATGTTAATTATATAGGGGCTACCTTAATCAAGCATGACTAGTTAAGAGAAGTCTCCGCAATGTTAAAACAAATATTAAGGCTTCGTTTGGGACGACTTTTTTATTGCTTTCTAAAACGGAGTTTTAATACAAATTTTTTTATTTTTTAACTAAAACTTCTCATGGTTCATTCACATGCCTTCACAATAACACTAGTGTTGCAAGCTGAGAGATTCATGACAGCAGAGTGAAATGGTTTTATATCTTAGTGATGTAAGAAAATTCAATACACAAACAGATAACGATAGAACACCGTAATTTTTATGTAGAAAATTCTAAAAAGGAAAAAATCATGAGCCCTTGCCCAGTTGAAATGATTATACTAATGTTTGAACAAATTACAAAAGTTTAGCCATCCCTTAACTCAAGGACAAAGAGAATACAATATATTGAAGTGTTTTCCAAACATCAAACGGGTACTCTTGGTGTTGATTGAATAACAAAGAATGTTCAACAAAGGTCTAACAATGGTTGGAGATCGGGTGATAATACGCAGCATGCGGAAGTCCAGAGATGTTTGGAGATCTGGTGATAATCAGAAGATAGGCAGATGTCTAGCGATGTTTGGAGATCTGGCGATATTTGGAGAATAGTCACATCACTAAAGGATATATATTTATGCTCAATGAGATAACAATAGCATGGGCACTAAAGAAATAAGAATGTATAACTCTCTCAATAATATATAGCAGCTTCCATCATTTTTGTTCAAGCAATTTGGTTAGAGAAGTTATCAAAAGAATTGAAAGGGAAGAATATTGTTTCATTTGGGACAACTTTCTTATCGTTTTTTAAAATAATTTTTTAGTAAACAAATTTTTAAATTATAAATTTTGGTACTAAAAATTTATTAAAAGCTATCACAAACCAAACCTAAATGTGGTAGGAAGTCTGCAACAATATTATTCAATAACTAAATATAGGAAGAAGGATCCAAGCATGACTAGTTAAGAGAAGTCATAGTGATATCTAGTATTAAAGTTAGTTGCATGGTGAGTATTAACTATAGCGTTCTCAATCATGTTAAGATTACACTAAATAATAACATTAATTAATTTATTTTTTTCTATGAATTTGTTAAAGTCTATTTAATATGTGTTATCTTTGTGTATTTTAATTATATAGGGGCTACCTTAATCAAGCATGACTAGTTAAGAGAAGTCAACAGCAATGTTAAAAGAAATATTAAGTTTAATCAAACTTGCTACCTTAACCAAATCCTTCCAATAGGTAGAAGCCTTCCCATTGATATGCTTCCAAAAGGATATATAAGAGTTCTTAAACCATGTGCTAATAAAGGAATCACAAGAGATGCACATCCAAATTAAAGAAGAAGAATAAGCATGAATGAGTGTAAATAAAGAAAGAAGACCAAGACCACCTAAATTTTTTGGTTGGCAAGTCTTCCTAGCTCCAAGAAATAATATGAGGTTTTTTCAATGAATGTCACCATTAAAAAGAATCTTGCACAACATTTGTTAATGGAATCACAACAAGACTTTGGCATAATAGAGGTCCTTATCCAGTAGGCAATGACATTCCAAATGCTAAATATGGCCAAAGATAATTACTAAGCCTTCCAACCATCTAACATATTAGAAATTTTATTCAATAAGAAAGAAAAATCTACCACATTTAAGTCCCTTGTCACCATTAAGAATGCCAATATATTTAAAGAAATCATCACTCAAAGAGAGCTTAAGTAAATCAACAATAACCCTAAAGTTAATTAATAGAGTCATTTGAGAAGAAAATAGCACTCTTATTATAATTAATACTAAAACCAAAAGTATTTTTAAAAGTAAGCAAAAATGTCCTCTAAAATATGTGCATAACTAAAAAAGCTTTGCCAAAAAGCAGTAGATCATCAGCATAAAGTAAATTTGAAATAGAAGAACTAGCATGATTAAAATCTTGGAAGTGAGAAGGCTCATTAGTACGACAATCAATAAGATTAGAAAAAGTACCCATGATGATGTAGAAAAGATAGGGAGAGAGAGGACATCCATGTCTCAAGCCAGAGAAAGAATTAAAAACCTATTTAAGACCCCGTTAAAGCCAAAAAAGAGAAAGGAACATAAAAAATGCAAGTATGAATCCATGAAACAAATTACTCCGATAAATCCTTCTAAATCATCCTATTTAGAAGGAAGCTTTTAGAGCTGGTGTCAAAAGCTTTGAAGATATCAATCTTGTCACAAAAAACATTAGAAGGTTGTTATGAATATAAATTTAGAAAGAATTTCATAGGCGAAGATAATATTATCAATGAAAATTCTACAATTTATAAAATTAGATTGATTAAAATGAATAATGAAGGGCATGATATAGTTAAGCCTCAAAGTTAAAGTTTTGGAAATAATTTTGTACAAAGTATTACATAAAGAGATAGACCTAAAATCTTTAATATGGGAGGCATGATATCCATTGGGAATAAAAGCCAGAGCAGTAACCTTAACTTATTTTGAGAGAAAGCAAGTAATAAAAAAGTATTTGATAGCTATACAAACTTTATTACAATAATGGTTTAGGATTTCTTATAAAACTCAAAAGCAAAATCATCAGGGCTAGTAGTATAAGAGTTAGGATTTGAGAAGATAACACGTTTGATTTAATCATCATTAACATAAGCAATTAAATCAGATCTAAGATGACAGGGAGAGAAGAACCAATAAGAAGATTAATGCCTTGGAAGACAAAGTCTTTGGAATTAGAATTAAAAAGATTAACAAAATGAGAGATTAAAACATGACTCGTATCATGATGAGAAGAAAAGCTCCCATCAGCAGTATCAATATTTTTAATAGTATTATAGTTTTGCCTCATTGTAATTTTACTATAAATAAATTTCAAATCATCCTCACCATGACAAAGCCACTTGGCCTTGGCGCAAAGAGACTGGTGAAAAAAGAGCATGTCATTTAAAGAGTTCACCTTATAGTTGAGAGAATTAGATAAAGGGTTACCATTAATTAAATATAAATAGTGTTTTTTGATGAATTTGCAACTCATAAATATTAGAAGCAAGGAGAGAAGAAGAAGACCAATTCATAGCTTTGATCTTCCTTTTGAGGTTAATGATAATATTATATTAAATATTAATAGGATCATTAGTATAATCATAGAAATAGAAGAAATAAGAGCTTTCCAATAATCATTATAATTTTTAAATAAAAATGTATGCTTGACCAGCAAAGCATTATTAAAATCTAAATTAAAGGAGAAAGATCAGAATATAAAAAGCTCTCAACTTTATAAAAGGATAGGGGAATTATAAAAAAATTATAATTATGTGCATCATTGCCTAGTATTTTTTGTCAAACCATTATTCTAAGCTTCTTATGTTGATGTTTTATAAACATCCATGTCGATAGACAAGAAGCATGGAATACGGGTATGACAAAAAAATACTAGACAACAATGTACACAACTATAAAATTTTAGTTTCTCTTTCTACTTGCTTAATATTCTCCTTTGAGCGTGTAAAAGATTATAGGACTTTTTTTAAGGAGGAGCATGGTGTTACTTTAAATTAGGATTATGAGCATAATATTAAAAAAAATTTCAAAAAGCAAACTATCTAAATCATACGACACATTGAAAAGAATGCACCAATTAATTTGTTGCATTCAGAATTAGACAAATCATTTGATGTATTATTTAAATGTGTCAAATGATTTGGTTAGTTCTCTAATGCCTCAAATCATTTGGTACATTCTCCGCAGTCAGCTGAATTAAAGTCTAAAATTATTGTAGCAATGCACCAAATAGTTTAAACAAAATAGAAGCATTCTATTAAATCCGCCAAACTATCAAAGATTATATAGTTATATATTTGAAGGAAGGACATCTTTGTCATCTCAAATCCTTTGGCCGAGCTCCTGAAATTGATGTGAGCATGTGCCCGTCTGAGCTGATTGAAATTTCTAAAAGAAAACAATATCTTCCCTTCCATATTCACGCAAACAAAATTACAAAACACCTCACATCACAGGGCCCTTTCCGTAAATAACTCCCCTCACTGCCCAACTGCCAACCTTTCTTCTTCCACTCCACTCCCCTCCACTCCGCTCCTTCCTCCAAAGCTAAAAGCTTCTCCTTTTTCTCACTTCTCTTCTCCCTCTCTCCCACTCCTTATACCCAAAACCGCTAAAACCGCCACCTTTAATGGCAAACCTACCCCTCCTATTTCTTCTAGCTTTCACCTCTCTTCTCCCACCCATCACCTCCAAAACACCCATCTCCATCCACCACCTTCTACTCCAACACGGCCTCCCCGCCGGCCTTCTTCCAAAGGCGGTCGAGTCCTACAAACTTGACCGAACCACCGGTCTTCTCGAGGTCTATCTCGACCGCCCCTGCTACGCCAAATACGATGGGTTGGCCTTCTTCGACCAAGTTATTCGAGCAAATCTCAGCTATGGAGCTCTCCGCGGCGTCGTCGGACTTAAGCAGGAAGAGCTCTTCCTATGGCTCCCTGTTCGTGGAATTCTCGTCGACAATCCTTTCTCAGGCGTTATTCTCTTCGATATTGGCGTCGCTCGTAAGCAGCTCTCTCTTTCTCTGTTCGAGGTTCCGCCGGAATGTAGGCCGGAGGGCTCTAAGCTGCCGGCGGGAACAATTCGGGAGATTTTTAATGGTAAGGAAGGTGAAAAGTTGGTAACTTTCCATGGGTTTCTGCTTGGTCTTTCTATTCCTTTCTTTGTGCCGTTTTTCTTTGCATTTATTGCTTGCTAATTTTGCTTTGGTTTATTTAATTCTTTCTTATTTGGTTTTTCTCAGCATTTGGATTCGGATTTTAATTTTATTTCTCTTTTTTGGGCTTTTTTTGCTTATTAGGAGAAAAAGTAAATAAAATAAATATATAATTTTTTGTATTATTATTGAGTGTTTTAAGGGAGGAGAAAAATATTTATTTCATTTTTAATTAAGATTTTACAAAATTGATATTTTTTATAGAAAGGTAAAAAAGGATGGGAATTAACTTTTATTCCTTTATTAAAAGATGGTAGTTAGGCTATTCTTTGGCTCTTTGTAGATAAATGAAGAATAAAAATTGTATAGAGATGTGTGATGCAATCTATATCTTGATGATAAGATAAAATATTTAGTTGGAAGATAAATATTTGAAGTTAGAATACAATTATTTTTTTTGTGAAGGGGTCATTAAGTTGCTGAGTTTTTTGAATTTATTAGTAAATATAGCGTGTTTGAAAGTGAGAAAAATTAAAATTTTTGTGGGTATTTGATTGGAGTTAATAAAATTAGAATTTATTAAAAGAAATAAACTATGTGAGAAGAAATAATGATGGGAGATGGTTGGGCTAGACATTGATTGACTAGATTAGTAGGGTTTAAAGATGGGGTATTTTTCTTATGTCCAAAATTTATCTCCACAGCAGAGCCTAAATAATAATATATTGGTTAATTTAGGCTTCGTTTGAGAAAAATTTTTTACTTCTTTTTAAAATTGTTGCAGAGAAAATAATTTTTTTAAACTGTTTGCATAAAATTTTTAGAGCAATAAAAAAACAGTGACCAAATAGAAGTATAAAAAGCAAAGCAGTAAGAAAACTATCTCAAACGATGCATTAGTGTTGTTTGATCCTACCGGTTTTACATAGTTTTTTTAAGAGGAGTTTTTTTTTTTATATATTTTGATCATCAAATTCTAAAAGTGCAATATCTTAGGGTCTATTTTGAATAGCTGATGTATTTTATAAAATTATTTGTAGAATTGTTTTGGGAAAATTAATATAGTTTTATGGTTGCATAAAGTAGCTTTTTACCATATAAATTTTCTTAAAATAGTGAAAAAGCAACAAAAAGTAATAGTCAAATAAAATTATATTTGTTGTCTGAAAAGCAACCCAACGAGAAAGCTGCCCCAAATAGACCCTTAATCACCCTTGACTTTGCTTTCATTGATGTTCTTTCCTTAATATTTTGCAATTTATTTGTTGAAGCCTACATAATTTCACCTTTGCTTTCTTTTTAAGAAGTATTTCTATGAGTAATTGGCATTTTTATGACTTTAAAGAAATTAAGACAAATAGAATGGCTAATATGCATTGGATAAAAAAAATAGAAGTAAAAATTAGAGGAGTTTTTAAGGTTTAAATAATTAGACTTATAATTCTAGAATTATCCTTTGTGTATACATAAGCTCAATAAAAATGTGTAGAAACAATCCAACTCTAAATAACATGTTAGAAAATAATTATCTAAGAGATGGATTTTAAAAATGGGATTGACTTTTCATATACTCAAGATTTTATATTCCATATAGTTTTATTACATTTATAAAAATAATTTATATGCTTAGAATTTTATACAACTCTTAGATTTCTTGAATTCTCAAATTATCATTTTAGTTTAATACCGAACAATGACCTAATTACATTAAATCAACCCCCTTTTAGTTAGTCTAAACTTGTATCATGCCTATATATTTCAATATTGTTATAGTAGATGTTATTGAGTTGGCTATGGAGGGAGGTATATAGAGGGTTTTGATATAGTTGGGGTTGGTCAAGTAAAACTTCTTGGTGTAGGAGAGAATGTGGGTTTTAGGATGGTGAATTAGTGTAGAGGTTGTGCTTCACATCAAAGTAGAGAGTTATATTGTGGATGATATGTTTAACGAAAGTCCTTAAGGGGGATTAGGATTTGGGAAGGACAGGAGGAAATCATAAGAAGATTCTTTCTGGAGATGGCAAAAGTTATGGAGATATATGCAAAGAGAAAAAAAAAATAAACCCAAAACAAATTTGACATAATAAGAGGCATTAATATTGGGCATAGTGGTATCATGATAAATATAAGCATTTTGAGTGAGGGACTAGTCAAGGAAGAGGCATGATTTAGGGTTAAAGTCAAGTTCATGTGTTGTTTATGGATGGGGCGATACGTAAGTGGAAGAGGCATCTAAATACATGAAGTTCAGAGCAGTTGCGAGGGGGGCCAAAGAGCTATTCATACGGAGAAGAGAAGTTAGTGTTGTGATGGGCATACAATTTATAAGGTAAAATATCCTCACAAATGCATTAGTGCAAATAATTTAGGCTAGGTTGCATGCATATAAACAAAGTGAGGGTGTCGAAGATATAGGATTCAATTCATATCATATCAAAGAGGGAGGAAGGGATCTACTTCTCATATACGGTCATATCAATTTTTATTATAATGACTTTCAATTTTCTCATTGAATCAAGCATATATTATAAGATATAGGTTTCGTTTGGGACTGCTTTCTTTATGCTCCTCTAAAGCAGTCTTCTAGTATAAAAGTTTTTTAAAATAGAAAATTTTGTACTAAAAAGATGCCTTAGAAAGCATTAAGAAAATCGTCCCAAACAAAATCATAGTATTCAATTAATGTCGCTAGCAATTATCATAATAAAAATAATGCTATCTAAATACATACCAAATAATTAAGAGAATAAAGATTAAAAAAAGTGAAGTAACCTAAAATGTTTTTCTTACAATATACAAATACCACCACAGCTGTTCCTTATCAGAAAAATAACTTATTTTCAAGTAAAATTAAAATTTTGCAAGTTAGATTAAGCTATAGAGTAGTGCTTAATCTAAAGCTATGTTTTCTCTACTGTGAACATTAACGTCTTGAACAATTCAGATTTTGTTTGGGACGGCTTTCTTCCTGTTTCTTAAAGCAATTTTTTAATACAAAGTTTAAAATTTTTATACTAAAAAATTGCTTTAAGTAGCAGAAAAAAAGCCATCCCAAATGAAGTCTGTACTTCTGTGTCTAGTTTGGAGAAGCTCTTTCCCTGCTTCAAAATTCATTCAACATAATAAGCTAATTTATTTTCTTTCGCACTTTTAGTTTTTGTGACTAACCTTAACTGCTTCTTCAAATTATTACAGGGCTTCTTAGCAGAAAACATGGATTCCAGGATCAGAGATAAACAATTAGTCTAGAAAACTGTTTTTTTTTTTTCTTTCTTTCTCTCTCTATTCTACCTCCTCTCTAATATATTAACCAGCCCCCTTCTTCCTGTAAGAAATTTGAAATGCTGCTGTAAATTATAATTCTGCAATTCATATCTCTTTATCTACGAGTTCTTTTGGGATAATTTTTTTATTATTTTTAAAGTTATTTTTCAGTATAAAAATTTTTAACAAGAAAAGATGTTAGAAAGAAATAAAAAAACGTTTGGGAAGGCTTTTTTGTTATTTCTTAAAACAGGTTTTTAATATAAAAATTAAAATTTTTGTAAAAAAAATTGTTTTAAAAAGTAATAAAAAAATTATTCCAAACTAATCCTTCTACATGCATGCTCTAATTTGAATGATGGTCTATTGATGACATGATGAGGAAATTAGAAAACTAAGGGCATCTCCAATTGAATCTCAAACGCTTGAATAGCATCCCTGGCCAGCTCTAGTCGAATCGCAAAATTTCCGCTATTTGGCTGCGGATGAACAGTGGGACGCCAATATTGGCGTTGACTGTTCATCTCCGCCACTTTTACCTCTCTACCAAACTTGCAGCAGGAAAGAAGAGGCGACCGTTACCTACAAAAGGGTGAAAATAGAGTTCGATTGGAGATGAATCACATCATTTTGCAGTTTCACGATATTTTGGAGTGAAAATGAGATTTTCGGTTGTAGATGCTCTAATAGGTAGTTTTGGATTTTTTTTTTTTGTCTTATTTTATTTATATTCTAATATTCAATAAGAAATATTTAGTATCTAAAAAAATTTATTTTTATCCTAAAATCATATTTGGATCATTAGAAAATATTATTTTTATTTTTATTTTTATTGTATGCTGCATAAGGCCGTAATAGCGTGCGTTAATTGTGCCCTATAATATAATAGTAATGATCATTGATCATTATTTTTATTTTCTTAAAAAAAAATAAAAATTGAAAAATAGAAAAAATAATTAAATTATAAATCAACTATAATTTTAGAAAATAAAAACTAATTGCAGACGGCTCCTAAAAGATCACTCCAGAAGCTTAAAATTAATTTAATTAAACCACAATTTAACAATATGAATTATATTTAATTATCTCGGCATGGGATATCTTGATTTGACAAGTTGAGTTGAGCGTCGTTTCAGATGGCAGAGCATGGCCAAAATAATAATAATAATAATATTATTATTATTATTGTTATTATTATTATTATTATTATTATTATTATTATTATTTATTCAATTTAAAAATAAGTGATTTATTTTTCAACAATAAGATAAAATATTTCCATTCAATTTTAAATAGGGGAAAATTTTGACCATCCGATCAAAAAAATTTCGGATTCGACCCGATTGTAATTTAGAGTTGGCTTCGAGTCAACTTAAGAACTTAAAATCAACCAGAACTGATTGGTCCTACATATGGGTCACTTAGAGATCATGCTCGCCTCCACGCACTCGCCCCTATGTGCAATCATTTGCATGACCGCTAGTTACGTGTACTACAACAAGATCAATGATTCATATCGTGTCAACCAAGTTTGAACTAGATTGGGTTCAAGTAGGAGTTTGTGACTAGTTATCTTAATCAAGTCGGGTCAAAAATGACGGTTAATTTTTATATTGGACCAAACTCGATCCAAAAATCTATTTAGATATCCTTAATTTTAAGATTAAGCATATTCAGCTTATTTAAACAAAAATTTCGGCTCATATTTTGTATGTTTTTATAAAGGGTAATTTACATACATATAATTTTATTTCATGATATTTGTATATTTAACATCCAAAACATTAATATTACATGTCTATCATCCATGTACAACTTAAATATCAAATATATCACTCCTATAATTCATTTTTACCATTCATACATTCATATAAACTTTAATATTTGATTCCATACACCCAAATTTTTTCTATGAGTGGTAGACATGTAATATTAATGTTTTGAGGGTTATATATGTAAATAGTATAAAATAAAGTGGTATGTATGTAAATCCCCCTTTTATAAATTACTCTTTTTTATATTTTATTTATTTATCTGTATTAAGATTATTATTATTTTTTTGGAATATGATTATTTAATATTTGAATGTAAACTTTATGAAAATACGACAGCAATAAATTGTCATATCTAAAATTGATGTGACATGTTACTCTTTTGTGAATTTTTATATGTATATTTTTTATGTATTTTTCTCAGACTAAGTAAAAATATATATGAAAATAATGCAAATTGAAAATTAAAAAAAAAAAGAGCCGAGTAATGGTCCAAAGAGTCTGTCCAGACCCCAGAGCATCTAATTGATTGATAAAAGAAAAAAATGATGCACATATAAATTATTGATTTTTTGGTTACTCTATAATATCTTATAAAATTGATGGTCAAGTTGCTTATATAAATTAATTTTATTACTATGATCACACAAAATAATTTTCTCCAACATGAATTTTTGAAATTCAATGAAAAAGCTGGAAAAAAAGTAATATACAAATGAAATTATATTTGTTGTCTGAAAAGCATGACAACGACAAAGTAATCCCAAAGAGACTCTAAGGCTTCGTTTGGGACGGTTTTTTTTTTGCTTCTTAAAGCAGCTTCCTAGTACAAAAATT